CTGAGTCTAGTAGAGAATTTGTTATTAATAGTTGTTTAAAGTTGTTGCTCTCCAAGCTCCTGGCACCATTCTGGAGGGTTGAGAGGCCAGTTGCTAGAAGGCCAGTAGGATATTAAACTGTGTTTAATTTTGTAAACGTGTAACTGCTGAAATTTACAGCAGTTACACGTTTACCCACAGGAGGGCAGGTATGAGCCAGTGCTTCTGTGGAACCAGTTGTATCAGAGGCAGCATATGGTGCTTCTGTCCCATCCCCCTGCTTTCCCTGTGCTGCTGCCTCTGTGAAAGGTGTCCCGGCTTTTACCTGCCTCTCCCTGCTGCCTCTGCATCAGAGACAGTGGGGAAGAAGGCAGGTGGCTCTAAGCTGGTCCATGCAGGGAGCTAGCTTAAAAGCTGGCTCATCGCACCTACAGAGTCCCCCGCTTGCCTCCTCACATTACCACCTCTGATGTGGGAGGTAGCAGTGTGGGGTTTGGGGAAGACATGCACGGGGATTGCGCTGCTGCCTCTGATGTGGGAGGTAGCAGTGTGGGGGGTGGGAAAGGCGGCTCCATGGCAGTCAGCATGCACAGGGATTCAGTTCAAAAGCCAGCTTCCCATGCATACCAGCTCTCTCTCCCCCACCTCCACCCCCGCCTCTGATACAGAGAAAGCAGGGCAGGAGGAGGCTGCTTGTAACTGTTGGGATTAACTGATGAGCCCAAACTCTTCAGTTAGCCATGTAAACAAGCACACGTTCACACCCCTAATGGCAATATGGTTCACCACAGGCATATTGATGGTCTTTGACAAATCAGTCTTCTCCCTTCCATTCCTTCTCCCTATCTGTAGAGTTGCACTCTTCTCTAATGTGAGACCATCGATATCCAGGGTACCATTGCCATTCTGCTGACTACCATCACTGGTCACTGGAGTCCTGGCACCGAGAGCTTTTTCCTCCATGCAGGTCCTCAGTGGAGGTCTGCATCAGGGTAGACTGACAGCCTGGGTACTGTATTACTTCCTCAGACAAGTCTGTCTCTCTCCTTGGGCTCCGGCTGCCCCCCTTTAAATAGTTAGCCAGTTAAACAATATAGTTAAGCATTTAAATGGGATTTTATATCCCTAATTGATACCTAAGGAAAAGGCAGCAAAGAAGCTCAATCTCTTTGGTAGATGTAGAAAGTTATTCTGTGTGCAGCTTCCAGCTGAGATTGGCAAGCCTTACTTGGCTGCTGTTAAATATATTCGACATTCATGGCCAATTTTACAGACTCACTACCAGAGGATACCAGGAAGAAATTTGTGGCTATCCTTGGTGAGGACAGAGCTGTGGCCAAGGCAGCCCTCTGAGTGACCTCAGCTGAAGCAAACACTCCAGCCTAGACTAGTTGTGGGGTCACCGAATTGGGTGGAGCAAAAAAAGAAAAAAGGAAGCAGCCCCTTTAATTGTTGGCCATGTCCTCTCTCCTGCCACTCCTTATGCCCCCGCCACGTGTTTGTCAGACGCCGAGCCGGGAAGCCAGGAAAAAACGGCTGGCTGGATCCAAACGCTGCAACCTCCCAGGAATGCAGCCGCAACACCCCCGCCTCTCCTTTCCCACCTCCCCCCCAGCCTAGACCATGACTTCATATGTTTTTATGAGGAATGTGCCCTGGTTATAGTTATTGGGTCTGTTGAAGAGGCTCAACAATCTTTCCAGGACCTCCCATGTGATAGGTTGGTTCAGCTTTGAGAACAGATAGACAGTAAATGTCATGGCCTAGAAGACTTTAGGGCTACCTTGCAGTCCCTGAGCCTTTATACTTCTGGGCTGGTGAAGTAGCAGTTACAACAACTCCATGAGTACAGGAGCCAATATTGGTCAGAACCCTTCCATAAGAAAGTCAAGGGCTATAAAGGGCAGTAAGGCCATCATCCTGTACCTTCGATTCTCTTGAGCTCCTCCCACAACCAATTGGGTAACAAGCAGGCATTTTTGAATGTGTGTTGAGGGCAACCTTCTAGCTTACGCTTTGGGTCATTTTTCCCCCCATCCATTTGTCGTCTCCTTCTCTGCCTGAGCCTCTGGAACATCTGAGCAATGGGTAGTGAGCACATGGGAGGGGAATATACCTGCCAGTTTATTTCTGTCCCTCCCCATCTCATGAGCATCTGCTACTCAGAAGGTGCAGGGCCTTCTGCATTTGGGAGCCATGGAGGAAGTACCTGTACACTTGAAGGGGGACAGATTTTACTCCCACTCTTTTTTGCCCCTTTGACCTGCGGAGAATCAACAAATATTTCAAGAAGTTGAAGTTCTGCCTGATCTCTTTGGCCTCCATCTTTCTTTCCTTGATTTTGGGATAGTGATGCGCTGCTCTCCATGTAAAAGATGTTTACTTTCATGTGTCGATATTTCACAGACAGAGATGGTTCCTAAATTTCATAGTTGGATCTGCCTACTACCAATTTGCAGTGCTCCTTTTCGGCTTAGCAACAGCACCAAGGCATGTATAAGATATATGTTAGAGGTGGCGGCCTATCTCAGACATTGCAATATCCAGATTTACCTCAATAACTGTCTCATCAGGGGCCACTCCTGTGTCCATGTTCAGCGCAGCATTGAGATGTTGCAAGCCACTTGTCAAGCTCTGGGCCTGTTGATAAATTATCAAAAATCTACATTGGTCCAGGTGCACTGGATAGTTTGAGAGCAGTGCTTCACTCTAATCCAGCCAGAGTATTCCTGCAAGAGACCAGGTTAGATGTCTTCAAGTAAGCAGAGCCTGATGAAATGCATCCTGGATTACTCAAGGAGCTGACTGAGGAGATTGAGCTGTTAGCAGTTACCCATCTACCATGACTTTTCAAAGATGAGATTCCCGAAGACTGGAAGAGGGAGAATATAGTACCTATCTATAAAACAAGAAATAAAGACAGCACAGAGAACTGCCAACCAGTCAGCTTAACTTCTGTACTAGGAAACATAATGGAGCAAATAGTTAAGGAATTCATTTGCAAACATCTAGAAGATGATAAGGTGATAATAGCGCAGATTTGTCGAGAATAAGTCATTTCAAACCAACCTGATAGCTTTAATTGACAGGGTAACTAACAAGCTTTATGGAAGGGGACAGGATAGATGTACATATCAACTTAAGTAAGACTTTTGATACAGTCTCACATGATATCATTAACAGATTAGGATCACATTCTAGGTGGAGCTTTTCTAAAGTGGGTGTATAACTGGCTGCATAGCCAGTCCCAGTACAGTCATGCTAGAAGGGCATAACAGCTGAAGTTCCACAGGTATCCAGATTTGGCTTGAGGGGAAGGAGGCGGCTCCATACACTGCTGCTCTTCCCTCCTCCCAGCTGGAGGAACAACAGCCGAAGAAACTGCTCAGTTGGGGACTTTCCCCACTTTTCCCATTGGCCAGAATCACAGCCAATGAGAGCAGTGGAGACCAGTACCTGGGACTGCAGTGTGCAGAACCAGGTACATGCACCCCACCCCCTTCATTCCCAGACCCTGCACCCCCATTGCTCTCTCACACACTGAGATCCCACACCCGATTTGGAGACCAGTACCTGGGACTGCAGTGTGCAGAACCAGGTACATGCACCCCACCCCCTTCATTCCCAGACCCTGCACCTCCATTGCTCTCTCACACACTGAGATCCCACACCCGGTTTACCTGCACCCTTCCTCCTGCTCAGACCTCCCATCCTCAGTCCGCCCCTGCACCACACTTCCTGCCCAGACTCCCACTCTCAGTCTGCACTCAATCTGCTGGCCAGATCCCCACCCTGCTTCTGCACCCCTCCTCCCATCAGACCTCACTCACTCACCCTCTCACCCCACCCAGACCCTGCACTTCCATCCCTATCCTGCTCCCCAGCAATCCCCTCCTACACACTGAACCCCTCATTTTTGGCCCCACTCCAGAGTGTAGGGAGACCTAAAAAATCAACTAGTCCTACAACTGCAGAAGAGTTAATCTGGCATATAAGAAGCTTCCTACTCTTACCCCAGTGGGTCTAGAGCATGAGAGGAGTGAGGTATCTCAGTCGGGGCCCCATCAGTGATGGTTGGGTGTGGGTTTCTTTTTTGTTTTTGTTCGGTTGGTTTTGGTTTTGCTTTTAACTTTTGTGTGGCCCCCTGACTGATTTTTCTGTGGGTCAGTGCCCCCAACCCAAAAAAAGTTCCCCACCCTGCCATAAATAAACACATTGTTGAAACATTTTGTTTTGGACATAAATTAATATTTTACTTTATTTAAAATGAAATTTGGTAAACTAACTTGATAAAGTTAAAGCACTTAATCTGTTTAGTGATTTTGATTAAAAATATTTCCTTTCTTGCCAGTTATATCTGAGCCCTTATTGTTATGGCTTTATATTTACATTTTTATGCACCAGTAGCCTAAAATGAATAATTTAGTATTTAAGGTATTTAGAGATAAGCAAAGGTATTTTGTTATCATGGGTGGTTGGCTGGCGGTGTACAGAAAGGTTTGAGGTGAGTGGCGTGGGCCAGAGGCCAAAAGTTTGAGAACCACTGATCTGAATGGTGCTCGGTCCTTCCATGAGTGCGGGAGACTGAACTGGTTCCTTCCAGTTCTATTATTCTGGTTTACTTTACACTTGTCATGAATAACTGTAATAACTGCATAAACATGCTGATTCAGCAATGGTGAATTGAGGCATGCATTTTAGTTTGTTTAATTATTCTAATAGCTCAGCAAAAAGGCTTCTATCCTGTGACACAGGTGGCTAAAGTCATATACAAATTAGAAAAATTTAAACCAGTCTAATTTAAACATTAAATGTACTTTCTTCTCTTAGTATTTTAGTTCTTGATTTTTATACACATCTACTTTCCTACTTGAGGCAGTGAAAATTAGTTAGAAGGAATATTTGGAAAGAATCTAGAATAGATCTTTGAAATGGGACTACTGTTAAAGCAAGCCAAGTTTTAAGTCTGACAACCATCTTGACAATGTGCCTTAAATCACTTATTTTATTTTCTTCTTTAGGTTCAGCGCACTATTGCCAAACAGATTCAGATGGTGCGACAAGTTGGGAAAGGGCGATATGGTGAGGTGTGGATGGGTAAATGGCGAGGTGAAAAAGTTGCAGTGAAAGTATTTTTTACCACTGAAGAAGCCAGTTGGTTCAGAGAAACTGAGATTTACCAGACTGTTCTAATGCGTCATGAAAATATACTTGGTAAATGAGCAATTTATAATTTGTACAGGTAGCAGAGAACTGTAGTTGTTTTATGAAGAATGTAGAAAATTTTCTTTATGAAATAATTGGAGTAATGTAGCATAGCATATTATAATTATATGAAAACTAGGTATCTTGCTTATTTTTAATGTTTCAAATAGGAAATCCTGATTTTTCTTCTTGTGACATCACATGAGGGTGAAACTTGAATCATAGCACTTCTGCTCCCAAATAAGAACTGGTGGGTGTGTAAGGGGCTGTTGAGTTTTACTTCAAAATGAGATTTCTTCTTTTTCGTATCCTGAAAAGCCTTATATGTATTGAATTCTGTGATTATTATGTAACACTAAATACTAGCTATGTTTATGCATTTGACAGGTTTTATAGCAGCTGATATTAAAGGCACAGGCTCCTGGACCCAGCTTTACTTGATTACGGATTACCATGAAAATGGATCCTTGTATGACTTCCTGAAATGTGCCACACTTGACAACAGGGCTTTGCTCAAACTGGCATATTCTGCTGCATGTGGTCTGTGCCATCTACACACAGAAATTTATGGGACACAAGGCAAACCTGCTATTGCACACAGGGACCTGAAGAGTAAAAATATCTTGATAAAGAAAAATGGAAGCTGCTGTATAGCTGACCTGGGCCTTGCAGTCAAATTTAACAGGTAGGTGATCAAAGCCTATTAACAGTTGGGATCTTTGGAACGATTTTTGAAAGGAATCAGATCTCAAGGTAAAATGAGTATTAATTCACTGATACGTTGTTTCACAATTGAACAGTAAAATTGTATGGTGTGTATTTATTGTTTTGAGAATCAGGTGCTTTTCTTAGCTTTGGATATGGAGTGGCTATTGAGGCAGAAAAAATAGATTGCTCTCAGAAGATCTTAGGCTAGAGAGAAGAATTCAAGCCCCAACAAAGTTTCACATAACTTTTCTCTCCCTGTGGAGCAAACACAACTAAAAGATCCACCACCCAGAATCCAGAGTTTCATCTTACCCTTGAAAATCTCTATAATGCTTTCATGTATTTTTGGTATAAAATCTGTGACTCACTTAATATTTGGGCAACATAAAAAGAACTGTGTAGTAAAATAAATTGCCTACAAAATTACTGTCTTGATGAAATTATTTTAATGATAAGAAAAATTATTGCAAAAACTATTGCTAATGTCTGATGCAGCCACAAAATTTCACTTTCCCACACTTGTGCCAAAGAAATTGCAAGGCTTTGTCCAAGAATTTGAATTCAGATATGGTAGTTTCTAGTATAGATTTTAGTTGGTGTCTGGATAGTATGCTGGTAGAACATTACAAAAGCAGGTAATTTTGAAGAAATTTTTTTTTCCAAAGCACATTGCAACAAAATGTGCAAAATGTGCTCAAAATTTTCCTATTAGAAATAAGGGTACAGTAAAACTCCGATGGTCCGGCACTCCTGATGGTCCGGCATCATCAGGAACCCGGAAGTGCTCCGGGCAGCCAGACCATTGGAGCTGCTCTGCCCCCAGCTTCCCCGATTCAGCCACCGCTAAAACTGACCAGCAGCGGACTTGGGGAAGCTGGGGGCAGAGCAGCTCCAACTGTCCAGCTGGGCGGAGCACTTCCGGGTTCCAGGTGGTGCTGGACTATCGGGCGTGCCGGACCACAGGATGCCGGACAATTGGAGTTTTACTGTATATTAAGCATAAGCACATGGGGAAAGAGGGAACTCAAAATACAGGAACAAAGCTAAGAATAAAAAAACATTTCATAGGAGAAAGGCTGATATAATACTTGAAAGATGGGACAGGTGTTTTGGACAATACTATTTAATCTGGGGGACTTGTGCATCACTGTACAATGCAGAATTTTGCAGAAATTAATTCACCACTGTGCACAGAATTGTTTTTCTCTCAGAGAAATGGGCTGCAGTGCTGCTGGGTGCCCCTGTGCCCAGAAAAACCAAGCTCAAATACAGAAGACACTGCCTGAGAGAGGAGGAATACAGCTACAGTTCCCAGCACACCCGGAGGGAAGGAGAGGGTAGCACGCAGGAAACTCCATGCAAGCCTAGGACAGAGCATCAGGGTCTGGGAGAGAAGAAGGGTGAGTGCCTGGGCTTGGGAAGACCACACTAGGCTTTTGAAGGGAAGAGGACAGGTTTCTGAGCAAGGAGGGGCCTGCAAGGGGGGGCTGCCCCCCACTATTTGACCTCTGAGGGGGCAGGGGGAAGGGAACAGAGAAACAGGAAGTGGGTTGTCATAGGGGTTTCTTTAGGTCTCTGCTCTTCTCTCTGAAAGAATTTGTGCCTGTTATTACAGACATATTTGCTGACATATTTGGAAATACATTACAAAATATATTTTAAACTGGGGTGATTATGTAGTGTTATTTTGACAAATACAATTTGCAGAATTTGGCCAAATTTTAAAATATTGTGCACAGACTGTTTTATTTTTTGACACAGAAGCTCCTGGGAGTATTTATTTGTAGGGAGGAAAGTGAAAGAGATTGAGCTCCTTAGCTAGTTCTTAAGAAGCTGTTAAATTCTTATGTCAAACTGTTTGATCAGATTTGCTTTAGTTGCTATGTCCATCAATACTGTACTTCTGCTGAAGGGCTGCACATAAAGGCTAGAGATTATAAGGCGTGTACATACAACACAGAATAATCAACACATAGTATAACTGCATATGGTGTGGTGTAATAGTGGATCTCTGCCAAAAAAAACTCTAAATCCTTGCCCAAAGAGCTTACAATCCACAGGACTGCAGCAAGATCACAGAGTGGGGCAGGCTCATTATAGCCAGCAGGCCCCAACGAACGTGAGAGAGTGTTATAAACTTTTCAGTTATGGAACCTTGAAATGCAGTAAATTGGAGTCTTCAGCATTTGGAATAGTCATCTTCATCTTCGCATGCCTGCTCATGTCCATTCAACTTAGGTGTGTGTGCCTGCCACATGCTCCAGTGCCGGAGGTGTTTCCCTACGCCAGTGTTTCTCAATTTCATTTGGCCATAGAACCCTTTTCAGCTTTTCAGAATTTCAACGAACCCCTACGTTGTTAAGCAAAAAAAAAGAAAAAAAGAGGGGAACCCCCCAATGCATGAATATCACATTCCTTCCCCAAGACCCCACCCATTTGAGGCCCCATCCTCTCTGTTCCCCTCCCCTCCATCACTTGCTATCCCCAGCTCTTATACACTCTCACTGGGTTGAGACAGGAGGTGCAGGCTCTGGGGTGTGAAATGAGGGATTTGGGTGTGGGAAGGGGTGAGAAGTGCAAGCTCTGGGAGGGAATTTGGATGCAGGGGAAGGGGATGCTGGCTCGGGGAGGAGGCTCCAGGCTGGTGAGTGTTGGGCTCAGGTGGAAGGTTGGGATGCCGAACGAGTCACAGGCTTGTAGATGTGAGGGTGCAGGAGTTTGGGTTGGATATGTGAGGGGCTCAGGGCAAGGAGGCTGGGAGTATGATGGGCTCAGGACACAGATTTGCAGTGTGTGGATGGCACAGGAGTGTTGTGGCAGAAGACTGAGGCTGTGGGGATGCAGGAGTTTGGGGATGCAAGAGACTCAGGACAGGGGGTTCCAGTGTATGATAGGCTCAGATTTGGGGTCAGGTGGTGCAGGAGTGTTATGATGCTGCAGTGAGATGGGGATTTGGACCCAATTAGGGGAATGTTGGCCAGGCTTCATTTTTAAATAAAATATTATGTCAAACTCAAAAGGTTTTAGCATTGTCTTTATTTATGAGAGGGGCGAGGAACCTGTTTTGAGTCAAGGGTCACTGACCACAGAAAAGTTAGGGTGGTGCTAGGTGCTGGGACAAGGAACTGGGTGGTGCTGGGTGCTACGGTGGATGGCACGGTGCTGGGGCCCAGGGACAGGGTGGTGCTGGGGTGAGTGGAAGGGGGGGGCTGGGGGGGGGGGAAGGGGGGTGGGGGGGGCGCGCTAGGGACAGGGTCCTGGTGTGGGCAGCAGAGTGCTGGGACTGGGAACAGGGTGCTGCTGGGTGCTGGGGACAGTGCTGGTGGGGACAGGGGGCAGGGTACTCGTGGGGGGTCTGGGCAGGGGACAGGGAGAACTGGGCAGCACCTCTGGGTTCTGGGAAGCGTGTGACTGCACTTCCTCTCCCCAAGCAAGTGGCGTGCGTGCTGCCGGAACAGCAGGAGCTCTTGCACTCCAGCAACTTACTTCTGTGATGCCGTCCTGCGCGGGGATGGGGGAGGGGGGGTACGTGGTGAGACCCAGAGCAGAGCACGATGTCTGCACAGTCTCGTGTCCTGTCATCCGTCATCTCCCCCCCTCCGCCCTCGCCGCATTGCACAGAAAGGCGGCGGAACTAAGTTGCCCGGTACCACAGCCCCAGCTGTTTAGGCAGCGCACTCCGGCTTCTTTGGGGAGAGGAAGTGCTTCTCTCCCTGCTATTGGTCACATGGAGTCACCCCTGTCCAGCACCCCTCTAGTGTGCTGGCTGGGAGCTACTGTTCCCTCTGCCCATGCCTCAGTGTTGCCAGGGAGGAAGTGGAAACAAGCTAGCCTTCTCTCTCTCTCTTTCAGCCGGGGTGGGGGAGTGCCAGCTCTTCGCGGAACCCCTACTTTCGCTTTGCGGAACCCCAGGGTTCCGCGGAGCACCCATTGGGAAACACTGCCCTAAGCAGTACCCATAGGGGCTGGGATCCCAGCGCTCTCCTGGAGTGGCATGCATATGCCATGGTATATAGGGCATACCCCGGCCCCTCCCTCCTCAGTTCCTTCTTGCTGCCAGTGAGGGTGCTAGGAACAGCTTACTCCAGCCCAGCCCATTAGCTAGTGTTTCCCTTACCTATTGTGTTGTAGATGTAATCCTCACTAGTTAAGTACCTGTAAGTAGTTCTGCTAATGTTTTGATTTATTTAAAAACCACAAATAGTCTCTAAGGTGCTGCAAGACTAACAAAACATTTAGATGGTATCATGAGCTTTCGTGGGCACCGCCCACTTCTTCAGATGAATGGAGTTATTAAAAGTCCAGTGATTGGCCAGCTCCATGTGAAGGGCAGTTTGGCTCCTCTCAGGCCTCTCCCCAGAGGCGCAGAACTCCGTTTTGACACACGTGCCCTGTTTGCAGAGCAGACAGACAGTAAGATGCATGGGTTTAATGACTCCTGCGCTACTTTAAAGACCCTGGGCTTGTATGTCCCTAAGACAAAGAGGAAAAAATTCAAACCTCACACCTCTCAATCCAAGGGCCACTATCCCTGGCAGAGCTCCTGCTCCACAATCTAGCCTTATGTATGCAGGTAGCGGAGACTCCCTTGGTGTGCTGGAGATTGGTCCGGGTAGGAGCCACCAGGGTGGGAGACATCCTGGACTATGAGGGGGGCTCTGGGTGGATCCCCGAGCACTCGCCCAGCGCATGGGGCTCTCCACATTCCGAACCCCACTGCATGTACTACAGGAGGTAGAGGCAGCTTTGTCACAGCCTGCTCTCGATTTCCTGCAGTGAGCCCTTTGGGAGAGCATGCCCCCCCCCAAGCCTTTTTTCTTGGGCCCCTGCTACGTGGACCCCCC